AAATGCAACAACTAGCGAGGAGAAAGAAATCAATGATGTCACTATACAAGAAGGAATTTTTACCGAATTATTAAATAAATTGCAAGACTTGAAAGAACAAGCAGCAACCTCGACCAGATTAGAAAAATCGACTTTAGTTAACTTTCAACAGATTCTTGTAGAGCTTATTAATGTTGTGGAAGAAAATAGAAGTCATTTTACAACCGAAATTTTCTCATTGATCAACGAATCTGTTAGGCAGTTTACTCGATCATCATTAAAATATGATGAGATAGAGGATTTCGTCAAAAGCAACAATTCTGATGCAATTGAAGTGCTATTGCTCTATCTGAATTTTTTCAAGTTAAATGAAATTCAGAATTATTTATCAAACCAAGAAATGGACCCAAACGTAGAGCAATGCTATCAGAATTGTGTCGTGTTCGTCACGCAGATAATGCAATGGATTCTGTTTGCATCTACTTTTACAGAACAAGTTGCTGAAAAGTTAAGCAATTACAATGAAATATTAACGTCAATGCTGAATTACGTCAAAAAAGACCTGTCGATTTTCACATCGTCAAAACTTGGTTCGGCAACATGTGAAATATTAGCATTTCTACAATTTTATTCTGATAAAACTGTATTAGTACCAAATCTAATCAAAGCTGGATGTCCTGAATCAATATTGAATTTGTGCTCAATGAGCTGCGGGTGAGTTGGAATGAAAACTACATATAATAGAGAGATATATTGAAAACCAAATACTTACGCAAGAAAGTTGTTAGATTTCATATCAGTATCTTTGTAATTTAGCGAAACACTTATTTTTTAAAAGATTATAAAAGATTTTTGGCAAACCCTCTCTGCACACTAACAGAAAAAAGAACATGTTCTTATCATGTCAGATTTGGCATCGTCGAGTTTCTGTGGTCTTCTTAAGAGTGTTGCACAGTGTCCATTATTTGCATGACAGGTGGTCATATGAATTTCTTGTTCAAAAACAGATTTCTTTTGATCAAAAACTATTGTTTATCATATAGAAAATCATTCTTAAGAGGAAAACCCTTTTCAAAAAAACTTATTTTCGGCAAAAAATACCTCTGGAGGACCTTTATCCAAATTTTTTTGAGAAATTTTTTCTTGTGGAAAATAGTTTATGCTGTATGTTATTCGATGCAATTTATTGCACTGAATCTAAATATGTCAATTTTATTGAATAAAAACATTTCTGGACCAAAAAAAGTCAAACATAACTAAAAAAACCATCAAGTTTTAAGACCCTATATCTCAGTCCAGGAACGTTCGTACTAATTTATGCTAAATATGTTGCTAGGGGTTAGAGAGACGAATACTTTGGCAAACTTTGAGCGACTTTGGACCATTGCTAAAGATGGCATGCTCATTTTCCTAAGATCAGCCGTTCGAAAAATCACAGGAGAAAAATTTTCGTTTATATAAAGCATTTATTAGGCTTAAAATTAAAATTTTGATTTGTACGAATCGATAGAGGGCATTGCGTCAGCTTTGAATATGTGCTGTTTCTGTCTACTCATCGACTGGGTCTTATGCAAAAAAGTTAATACTTTTATCCCATCAATTAGAGCATGTAAGTGTGGATCTTCTCTTTTACCATACCAAGGTACACTCACACCTCCACACTCTCTAAAGTCTTTATATGGCCATTAATGCAGCATTGCACGTTGAGAAGACATGTATCAAAGGATGGCAGGACTATGTGTCACACCACTCGTGTTGACACATAACTCACTATTGTTGGGACTGACATAGGTAGATTTCTTTATTACGATTAAGGTCGAGTCGTTACGACTCTTGTTATAATCCTTTGGGCGTTAAGATGATTTTTTTTACAGTTTTTGACTTTCGATTTGCCGCGTTTAAATAGATTTAGTTTTGAGATTTCTACCTTTTTTTTGCTTTTTGATCATGTTGAACTCTTTTCTTATGGATTCTCGGGCAATCCATGCATTTTAAATCCTGAAATTGAAAGATGCATAATAATTTTGTTTACAACTAAGTGAATCGGTCTCCGATGATCGCTGTTTCCGATTGATCGGAAAAGAACAAAGATCCATCTCTTCGACTTGTAAGTGTAAAGTTTTTTGTTTTTAAAGATATGGCGAACAACACTGTTCAATCGAAAGGGTGAGTTTTAAATCATGTCTATATAAAAAATTCCACTACTACTACTATTTCTTATTGTAACTAGACAAGTTCGGAGAAAGCAGACGCTATACGTCCATTAATCAATATTATTTACAACATCAGTCGTCACACTGATGGGATAGACAATTTAAACTCTTATCATGCTCTTAGTGTCATCAAACAACTTGAAAATTATATCATTGATGATGAGAGCAACGAATTGACTTCTCTCACTCGTACGATTTCAGCTCTTCTTTCAAAAACATCAATAACAATGGCGACACCAACCATACAGACGAATGATGTAAACTCGAACGAAGAGTCAAGTATACTCAGCTGGCATGATAATGATTCTAGTGACATTGGAGAGGAAGCAGAGACTGTTGACATTTCTGACGAACGAATTTTCTCTGATATCTTAACAAAACTACAGTATCTTCAAAGTAACATATCAAGAATCAATGAAGCGAAGTCTTCTGCAAACAAAAAAAGTGAATCATATAATGGCTCAGAAATTAAAACATCGAAAAATAGTGAAACTGAATTATCGGAAGATAACAATGAAGATCGACTAGATAAAACAGTTTTGGTTGAATGGTATCAAATTCTTGTTGAACTCGTCAGTGTGATTGAAGCTTATAAAAGTGATATTACAAAGCAAGACTATTTTGCAGTTCGAAAAAAAACAAAATCACTTTCAGCGATTATTAATACTTCAAAAACATGGCTTCAAGACGACGATACTACTTACGCACATGAAATAGTTGATTTATATTTTAATTTCTTCAATTTACAACACATTAAAAACTATTTAACACAGAATACTGATATAAGTGATGTTGTGAAATTGTTATATGAAAATTGCATCCTCTCAAATGTTAGTATCATCCTTGAAGGTGCTTTCAATTCTGTTGTCTATGCTTCATCGTTTACAGCTGAAGATTTAAAGCAACTAATTGTCTATAACGAAATTTTAATGTTAATGATGAGCTGTATAAAACAATATTATAATTCTAACATGCTTTCAAAATGTTCCAAAACAATTGTGTTACTTCTTGATTTATTAACCACATACTCTGATAAGACAGAATTGGTGCCAAACTTGATCAAACTTGGCTTTCCAGAAAGTGTTATGCATATGATTGAAATCATATACGAGTATGCTGTAGATTGACTCTAATTATCTATCATGAATGAGAGAGAAATTATTGATCATGTTGAAGTGTTGACAAACTACAAAAAACGCTTTATAGCATAGATAATAGACATGCGACAAACGGAATTTGATGGTTGCTGTTTGACAGCTTTATGTTTTCGGAAGAAAAAAACTTTCGATTTCTGACTATAAAGAAAATAGTTTTCCGAGTTGCACCACAAAACATTCTTGTGCGACATCAACTTTTCTGCAGCATTAATTCTTGATTCGATTCGGAAAAATCAATTTTTCAAAGTCAAAAACAAAAAATATTTAGAAAATTGGTATTTCCATACTTTCCAAGGGAGGAAGTTTTTTGTAGAAAATTGAATTATCCACAATTTGGTCTGATGGTGCAACAAGGTAAAGCACGTTAATTTAGTATTGAAAGTTTTCCGAAAACATGTTTTAGATCAAAGTGTTTCAACTCAAACTATTAGGTTGGTCGCATGCCTAGTCTTGAAAGTCAAACTTTTATAGCCTGGTCCACTTTTCGTGAAAAATCACCGGGAACTTTAGTAGTTTATCAAGAATTCCTAAAAAAACTTATAGGCTCTAAAGTGGACTACTCTACTTGTTGTCACAGTAATATCGCTTTGTTGTTAATCAACAAAAATTCACTTTATACAAACACATTTACCAGTTTTTCAAAGTCTTTCACCTAAGTTGTTTAGTAGTGCTCGTTGCAGTGAAGAAGTTGCTCGATTCAAATATGAACTTATGTCAAAACGATTAACTATCTCTGAGAGAACTGAGACAGAAGTGTAAATGATATTTATCACTTAGAAAAAAATGATCTTAAAAACGGTGTTTCTTTTTGAATCTTCATTTTCTTATATACGTCGATAGATACGAAACAAAACGATGAATGCATTTCTGCATTCCCTCATTAATCCTCGAGGTAGTCCCTGATGACTTCCTTGGGATTTCAAATTATTAATTACTCTCTAGAAATTTTGCATCTCAACAGATTTTTTATATCTCAGATAATATCTGTAACATGTCACAAGTAGGATTAATATTACCCTAGGAATTCAAACAAAATCTCTAAATAGCTTTTTAGATGAATTGATCGCTATTATCTATAGTCTGTTCAATTGTTTATATTGACTATGCCTCGACTGATAATTGTTTGGAACATTTACATTTTTATCCAGGTTATGTTAGGTCCAGAGTTAACCGTTTTTCAGAGTCTATTTGCCTAGGAGCATGATCCAAGTACAACTTGATAAGCTCTATCCTGATAAAAACTACTTATTTTCTAATAGCTCAACCTCATGCAGAGAAATCGCTACCATATATAGATGTTCTTAGAGAAATGAACCAAAAAGACGATCGAATCTGAATCTGAAACAGACTCCATTAAATTTTTTTCATTTTTCAGCTATCGTGGCCGAGATAACAAAGAACCGAAAGTGAGTGATTATTTATATAATACATATATAAATTCCATATTCACCTATTTTGCCACACTATTTAGGTTCTCGAGTACAAATGTAAAGCTTTCAGGCCATTAATTACAATTCTGTACAATATCAGTCGTCATGAAGATGGAATACAGGTGTTAAATGCGCTTGGTCTTATGTCGGTATTGAGAGAAATTCAAACAACAGTCAAAAAGAGCAATTCTTATTTTCGAGAAACAGTTGAAATCTCGTGTATGACACTGGCTTTACTGTCAACTCCTGAACAAATAAAAAATGATCGTAAACAGATGAATATAGTTTTAGATGGTATCCTTGATAATCTAGTTTTGGCTGCTCGGGAACAAGATTATCGATACCAACATAGATTTCATGTGAGTGAACCACTAGTTGTTTTGGTAAAATTGTTTAGTTATGATCGTACTCTTGATTATATAATGCAACATGCAGAAGTTGAATCACTAGAAACAACAACAACGTTAGAATTTTTGCTTGATTTTTTCTTTAAATATTATGCTACAGTCAAACATGATGATCCACTCAAATTGACAACAATGACAGCATTATGCAATATTTTTTGGAGTGTTTCACTACGACCTCAATACAAACAGGAATTGTATGAAGATGAAAAAAAATTTGAAGAATTTAAGAAGTTAATAAAACAGATTGCTCGTGGCAAAGACAACAAAATGATTGTCACAACATCTATACACTACGTTCCCACATACATTGAAAATATACAAAAAGCAGCCAACGGTATTTTGTGTAATATTGTTGAACAACAAGAACAACAGCAATCTGAAACTCAAAAATCAGAGCGATATAGAGTCAAGCGATCTCGAGCTCTAGCGCTCTCTCTTAGATCGTCATCAATGAATAGTCCAAGTATTCCTAAACCTCCTAAACCATCAATTATGATTAGTTACTCACACGGAGACAATGATGTCTGCACACAACTATACAATGAGTTGAATAAAAGAAACGATGAATTTGATATTTGGATTGATCGTCAATGTTGTAAAACTGGTTATTTATGGGGTAAAATAGCTGATGGTATTCAAGAAGCGAGTGTCATTCTGTGTCTTCTATCAAACAAGTATTATGAAAGCAAATCATGTCAACAGGAATTTGTCTATGCAAATGATCATTTGAAGAAACAGATTATACCAGTGTTTATTCAAAAAGATAAACCACCAGGCTGGTTAGGTGAAAGCATTTTCAGCATGATTGAACGTCAAAAACTCTAAACCATTTATTATTTTTTTTCTGTTTAGCTATTCATACATGTTTGCTAAAATATGTTCGATTTTGTCAGACTCAATCATTGGAGAAAGAAAAGTTAAAAGATTTAATGGAAATGATCGACGAATATTTATCATTGAACAATAGCAATAATGATGCTGATTCGTCGATTTCAGTTATGACAAGACCTGTTCCTGTACATCATGAATTAATGATACCAGCAGAAACAACAACGGTGATGCCAGTTACACAGAACAAAGGATTAGAAATTAAGCCACAAGTTGTTTACAGAAGGTGTGTAAATTCAGTTATTTGTAAAAAAAAATGTTAGACTTTTCTCTTACAAGAACTCATAGATGCGCTATTTAATTAGAATGCCCTAGAAATGAGTGAAATACTGTATGTCGCTGTAACTCGTTCTCTTACCGCATCAACTCCAGTGTTATAGGTTTGATCTATTCTACCTCTCTTCTGCTATTTCGATGACACATGCATACGACATCATACATCAGACTCTCTCATGCACACATCTTATAACTACATAGCTACATAACAAATCAAATAGACGAGAAAGAACCTGCGTATATATCATCACATGCAGTGAGAGTGTTTAACGAAAAGGCAAACACAAAAGAAGAGATAATGATATACGATCGAAGAAAGAAAGAAAGACATCATATTTAGGAAACAGAAAGACAAGTAAAAACGTATTTTGAAGGCGATGCTTATAACACTAATGTAGAAAAAGCATTGGATAATCGTCGGTTATAAGCGACTATTTTCTCGAAGTAAAGTAATTCTATAATAGTGTGGAGATATAACCATGGTTATCGATTTTTAATCGTCGAAATTCATGATATTCAATTATTCACATGGAATGCATTAAAATCTTGAGAACATTACCAGGAAAAACACTGGTGACATTTAGTGCTAGCGCTACATGAACATTGTTTTGTCACTAGAATGGCATTAGTTTTCACTGATGACTTTTCACATACTCTGTGTACCTTTGTGTTCGGCTGTCAAGATTCAAACTTTACCGATTTCTTCTTTGTTCCAGTCAACGAACATACCATTAGTCGAAATCTGAGTATTTATACAATGAATGTATTTTTCGAGGTGTGGGTGAGGGTACTGTGTATCAGTATAGCCAAAACTTGAAAGGATACTATGTTTCCGAATGTTCCCGACTTTAGCCACTGTTTTTTTACATGTATACTATCACTGGCAAAGAGCATCGCTTTTCGATGTTAGTTGCAATTAATGACTAACTCGATGCAAGCTCGTTTACTCTTGGTTTAAGTGATATACGCATGTTCCAATGAATATACTACGTATTGATGCTCTTTTTACTTTGATATGATCTGAAAATATTGATGAGAATAACTCATTATTTTATATTCAATGAGCTGTCCAAACATTCCTCTGTTAAAGAAACGAATCAACATGTATTCAGCGATATTTTACACGGAAAATGTAGCTTTTTCTAATAAACTCATCCAATACTGCTCATTGTTCTGCCTCACTCAAATGGTGATCTATTAACATTTATTTTTAACAAAACCTATGAGGGTCAATGATATTTTAATTGACTAATGCCGGATTTTTTAAAAATGTACTAACGACCATTTTTTAAATAACTTTTCAACGGTTCAAGCTATAGAGATCAGGTTTTCACCGTTAGAAAGAGCAAGGTGTGGGGCGTCGATCTGTATAAAATTCATTAAGTTCAAGCCTCTTTTCTATAGCTGTTTGCAGTCAGATATTTTTTTGTTGTCTATTTTCATGAGTTTTCGTGACAAGTTAACATCAAATTAGACCAAAATGTAGCCCAAATCTCCCTGTATTTGTGCTAAAATTTTAAAATCTTTGCGTTTTCCTCTCGGTTTTTTGCCTTACACTTTGATGCTAACATATGAGAATTTTAGTACAAATACAGGAAGATTTGGGCTACATTTTGGCCTAATTTGATGTTAACTTGTCACGAAAACTCATGAAAATAGACAACAAAAAATATCTGACTGCAAACAGCTATAGAAAAGAGGGTTGTACTTAATGAATTTTATACAGATCGACGCTCCATACCTTGCTCTTTCTAACGATGAAAACCTGATCTCTATAGCTTGAACCATTGAAAAGTTATTTAAAAAATGGTCGTTAGTACTTTTAAAAAGATCCGACATTAGCTTCCATAATATGGTTGTACCTAAGCCAAAAACCATTGTAGTGAACTCGAACAAATCTTGTTTTGTAAAGAATTGTTTGCTCTATCTTTATCATTCATCGAAACAAAATTCTATTTATGCATTCTAGATACTGAGAAGCTTGGGAATCCGATAACATTTTTTTTGTTCTTGCATATTCCTGTTGGAAACGATATTTTCACTCGGCTCACGATTTGAATTACTTTTAGCGTTTAAGTCAGTGAAAAAAAGGCAACAAATCTTATTGAATAATTTTAGTACGCACTGTATCACTCGGAGTATACTAGAGTCCTCTTCAATTTGATTTCTTCTAGGAAACTTGCCGTCAATCTCGATGAGAAACCCATATCACAATGGAACAGGGACGATGTTGCTCAATGGTTTCAACAGAATAAAATTATGCCTGAACTGTATAAATTATATCAATTCGAAGATGGTCCTGAACTATTAACTTATGCTGCAACTATTTTAGATGAAAATGTATTGAAATTAGAACAGCAACTCTATTCTCAAGCGTATTCACAAGCAAATGATGGTAAAGTATTGTTAACACCACCATTTTCACGATTCACGAACGCTTTGCGAAAATTGCACTATGATACTGAATTGAAAATGCAAAAATCAGCAATAGGGGCAGAACCAATTATAATGAATGCTAGTAATAGTGTTGGTGGTAAGCCTGTAACAAGAAACATTTCACGTATACCAACAAGATGCTCAACAACGAAACCACATGACTAACAGAACATCCAGATCATAAGCTAATTTTAGAACTACAAAAGAAATTTCTTTTTTTTGACTGCTGTAACTTACTCCAATTTGTATTACAAATCTCGAACCGTTTGTGAGTCTTGGATAACCTAGAATTCAGTGTTTAACTAATTACACAAAAAATTTTTTGTTATTTGAGAATGCAGGCATGGGTGTGGGTGTGGGTGTGTGGGTGTGTGGGTGTGGGTGTCATATAGGTGTAGCTATGAATGGGTGCGAGTGTGAGTGTCATGTAGGTGTGACTGTGAATGGGTGCGAGTGTAGGTGGGGGTAAGCGTGGGCGTATTTCTTTTTTTGACACCCACACCCACATCCACACACCACATCCCAACCACACCTACACACACACTCCGCCCCACTCACGCTCACACGCCTCACCCACACGCTCCACCCCCATAGAGAACTGCGGGACCACGTTTTTTTGGTTCCGATCCCGGTTCCAGCTGATATTTTGTTTTAGTCCCGGTCCCGTTTTTTTAATAGCGAACATAAAAAAATTTTTTTAAGAAACCTATTACGGTGTCGCACATAAGTGTGCGCTGTGTAAAGTGCATATTCCTGATTCTGCTCTTATAAATTGTCTAAAGAGTCTATTATCTGTCTATATGTGAATATTATAAACATGTTACTGTTAATAGATATTTGAAACATCGGTTATTGTTTTTTTTTATCAAATAATAAAAGAAATCATTGATCATCAATCGACTTGAAAAGACAATTGGGTTCTTTTTTTTATTCAAAATAATTTTTCGGGACCAGCTAAACTATGGTTTCAGTCGCGGCCCCGGTACCGGTCCCATAAAAAATAAGTTTTGGTCCCGAAATTGGTCCCGCGGGACCGGGACCGGAACCATTTTGCAGTTTCCTACACCCCACTCACGCTCACACTCGACATCGACACACTCCACCCATACCCACAACTATTAGAGGCCTGCGGAATTAGTCTTTTAATTCTGAAACCCGACTCCGACTCCGAAAAATTTCTGCTCCACTACTCTGATAAACTTCTTCAATACTCCGACTTTGACTTCGAAAAACTCCGAAATTTTTTCATCGAAGACGGGCGACCTCTGATATATTTTATTGCTTAATTTTGAATAGCTCAAATCAATAAACAAACAATGGAATAAATGAAAATGAAAGAATCATTACAAGACTTGTTTGAATTATTTGTTCATTTGTTGTGCAGCGAAAATTAAAACAAAATCACTAAGGAGTATTTTGACAAACAAAGAACTTGAAAAGCTGATAGATGGGAAACATGAATCTGTAAGATTTGTAATAAAGAAAAAAGCCACAAATTCTAGTCAAATGTGGGAACATTTTCATCAAATTTTCGTCAATGATTTACAAGAAAAAATTGTTTCATGTAATGAATGTAAAAGATTATTGGGATTTACATCAATAAATCGTACCAACAATTTAAAAACGAATATCATTATTGCTTAAAAACATAAATAAAACAAAATGATCTTAATCAAACAACAGAATATGATTTTTATTCAACTTCAAAAAGAATAGATATTCTTAGGAAAATCAAATTATCTGTAGTACAATCATGTGCTGAATTTTCAGCGTTAGATGGCCGAGCTTCTGATACGATGAAAGAAAATAGTTTTCAAAATTTAGCACAAGTCTTATTTGATGCTGGTCGTGCACTCACCAAGTCGTCAATACAAGTACAAGCTATTCTTCCAAACCCTACTACTGCAATAAATTAAACTTTTAAAGGACTTAACTGGTATTTTTTTAATCTTCCTTTTTATTGTTTTAGATTAGTAGGAATATGGAAAGGATTGATGAACAGTCAAAACTGCAACTGATCCAAATTTGTAAAAATTTAAAAAGTTTTTGTGCGGTGGTGAACAAGTGGCCAGAAAGTACGCAGATAAGAATGATGCCCGTTGAATCGATCAATGTTAAAGCATTCAAACCTCTCTTTTTGCTTTTATTTAGGAATGAACTATCGTGGTATCGGTTTACGATATCTTGATGACGATTTCAAGTTACTATCATTTGTTCTTGGTTGTTATTTTTATGATGCACCGGCTCATTCAGCTGCACATTTTGGTGCTTTTGTTGATGATAAATTACAAGAATATAATTTGCAACTTGATTCATCTAAATTTGTCGTTTGTGATAATGAAATGAGAATGTTAGCTGCGTGTCGTGATCAATGTACAAGAGTAAGTTGTTCTGATCAGTATTTGAATAAACAATTGCAGCACGCATTTGAATTAAATGAAATTCATACAAATAAAAGTACAATTGAGAATGTTAATTGTGAAACAGCTCAAAATATTTTTCTTCAAGTGAAAAAGATCGTTACCAACGTTAGACGTTCACATCGTCAACAGGAATTATCAATGAAACTACAGATTTATAGTGAAACTAGATTCAATGGTGCTATGACAATGCTTGATATATTCCGTAAAATGTTTTATGAGCTGCCATTAGTATTAACTAATACCAAATCTATGGATAATTATAATTTAATTGTTAAAAAATCTCTTGATGACATCTGTTGTTTTCTACAACCATTTGAAGAAGTTATTGAAGCACTTAGTGAAGATCATCAACCTACTTTACATCGAGTGAGTTCGTTGCGCCAATGTTTGATTAACAAACGTAAAATAAGCGAAGAA